GAGAGTGTGTTTATATATGTATCTATCTATATATATATATATATATATATATATATATATATATATATATATATATATACATATAATACGTAACTTACATAACTTAACTCACTTCTTATGTCCTTCTTATGCTTATCAAAAAAGCTAGGAGTTAGGCAATTATTAATCAGTTAAACTTTTTTTAAAATTGAAAAAAAAGCAAGTGTCTAAAGTTCGTAGCTATAGTTTTTTTTAACGTCCGAAAAATTAGTCGTGAAAAATCGTAACTTTGAAATGTTTATGATAATTCATTTAAGATTTTAAAAAAGTTTCACAACAGTACAATATTTAATAAAAATGAATTTATAAAACAATTGCAGCTTTTGTACACAATGGAGGACGCGTTCTAATTTTATTTTTAAAATATCGCTCGAAATTTTTTAAAATTCGTTCGTTCAACAAACTAAGGACAAGTTAAATTATAGACTCATTATAATTATTTGTTCGAAATATATCGAGCCACCAAGGAAATTGTCAATCTTTAATAATTCGCGGCGACCGATTTTGATAAAATAAATTAAACAAATTTAATATTTTGTAACATGATAAAACCATATACTTAGAACATACTAGAATAGAATTAGATAAAACAGATAAAACATTGAAAAAGCATATCATGAGAAATAGTTGGGCTGGACTCTAACATATGCTACACGTACCATCTACAAGCTATAAGCTTAATATTAATACTTGCACACGTAATCAAGTTACGCACACATGCATTACCCTAAATATAAACGAAATGTAAGTTTATATACATAAATAAGTGGATACGTATATACATGTACCCACAACTGACCAAACAACATTTGAACGAATGCAGATTACGAATGATATGAGGTCACCGGTATGTTCCTGACCAGTCATTGAAGATTTGTTATATATGAGGAACGGATGGATGAGCTCATGTCGTGCAAGATCGCCATTTGAATTGGCTCTCATTAGAAAATATGTAATGGTTATAGGATGCAAATTATAATGGTGGTCAAAACAAATCTAACGTATGCTGAAACGATTGCAAATGTACGTTAAAAATGGGTTAAAGAAATAAAATTTAAATAACAAATGAAAAATAAATAAGCCATCTATCTACTGGCAAACAAGCTGTTATTCTTGTTGCAAGGGCATTATTTCAATAACTTTAACACTTTTAGAGTTTTCATCTTCCAGGTAACAATAAGAAAGTATAGCATCAATTTGGTTGTTGATGTGCAAACAGTTATCGAAACTATCAACATTTGATAGATACAACTCTTTGTTGAGTTTGTCGAATATGTTATCATCCGAATCATCAAAAGTCGGTGCCACTTTGGACTGGCTGCCTATTTTTGGCGCTTCAATTTGTTTGACATGCAACAAGACTTTTTCTTCTTCTGTAAATTTACTTTTATGCAATTTTACAGTACATTCCTCAGTTTCGTCAAAATCAGGATAAAATAGAGAGAAAAATTCTTTTCGGTCACACCTCTTCATTCCACAATATCCACCTAGCATGGAGATCCAAGAAACTAATCTCTCATTTCTGCAATAATTTCAAATTCAAAGTAGACCATTTTAAAACAGTCAGATTTTGCTATAAAAAAATCAAATGATTTTTTTTTTCAATTTCAGCAGTAAGTACCTAAATTTGTTTACAGACGGGATAAATATCACATTCTATTAAAAAAAATTTCAACAAAATATCGAAAAACATTTTAAAACTCGATTTAAAAACTTACAGCCATAACTTCATATAAGTGAAAGAGTTTACTAACAAAAAATTGAACCTGCTATCATTTTCTGTTAACAGAATAACTTAAGTAACTTTTTTATGCATATTGACAAGTTTTAAAAATAACTTTACGATAAAAAAAACACTTGATACGAAATATTTTTCATCAACTAAGACAATTAAGTACCCTAAATATATAATAAAAAAATTAATTATTTTGCGATAAATTTCGAGTTATAACGCTTCAAAAACGTGAAAGTGTTCAAAAAAATTAATTTTTTCAAAAATTTGTGTGCAAAGAATTTTTTGATTCCGATCAATAATTTTTATTTGTTCTGTCGTTATATTGTTTTGTTAATGAGTACACAAAGTTTCATTTAGATATAACGGGAGATATGGCGTTTTACATAGGTACAAGTTTTGAAAAAATTCACTCAGAAATTGGAGGGTGTTGTCACAAAAATTTTCATAACTAGAAAAGTAAATGACAAAAATTTTATCTTGCCGATTAAATGCACGTACTGTTAAAATAAAAAAAAATCAGAGATGGCAGGGTGAGAACTTTTTTTAAAAATCAATCAAGTTAACAGAGAATGACCGCTGACTAAATTGCATGACGTGACTAAGATGCTTATGAAACAAGAAAAGAAAAACTCACACCTGACTAGTGGTGAAGAAATTTTTTTTGATTCCAGCAAATCAATCAAAAAGTTGTATGCACCGCCGGCAAACCATTTAAAATCACCAGGAGCATATGGGGCCCAAGTGAGCAACCTTTAAATTAAAACATGATCTCAATGGAAATAATGTCATTTCTAATAGAACTGAGCACACACACGCACACACTACACGCACACACACACACACACACACACACACACATATATATATATACATATATATTTTTGAATTTGAACAGAATTTTATTCGACAAAAGCACCGAAACATTTGTGAAACAATGTTCGTTTAACATATATATATATATATATATATATATATATATATATATATATATATATATATATATATATATATAAAGAGGGGGAGAGAGAGGAAGACATTTATGTCCATCAACTATGAACACAGATGTTATTAAAATAGGAGCACTTATGTTTATTAGTTGAAATAATACTCAAAGCTAAGTATAGAAATTGTAACCTTTTACAGAAAGCAAAGGTGAAAGTGCATGGTATAATGTAGGGTGCCGCCATGAAAGCCAGATACTGATACTTGTAGAAACGCGAAAATAAACCCCTGTTACCTTCAATGCATGCATCATCTAGGGCTACAAATACAAACAAACAAAAATATTAGATTTAAAAATACAACAAAGGTTTAATTAATTATGGTACATATTTTTGTTAATGATAAAACAAATGGACTTAAAAAAGAAACTTAGAACAAAGTGGTAACAATGAAGACCTTTGATGATGACAGAAGGAGGTCCTTCAATGATACTAGATCTTGATATCATCTCACACTCTTCACAGTGGTGGTGACGATGTCGCAAAGGTGCTTTCGTTTCATTATCACCTTCGTATCTTTCTTCTTCATACAAAGTATTTTTATGATTTTTACTATTGACTAAGCTCTTGTCTCTTCTATTGAAAACATTCTTATCATCAGTATTTTTATTTTTTGTGTATTTGTGTCCTTGGGTTTTCCCCAACTTATTGCATTCTTCTTCATCACTGCTGTTACTGGAGCTGTTGTTCCCACTGTCAGTGTTGTTGTCACTGGCATCTTCTAACTTCCAGATGGTCAGTTTGTTGTTCTTTAACCTCTCCTTTTTCACAGTCTCGATGATCTCCTGGTTCTCTCGGTGTACTGACCTCTCGTCCAACGTGTTCAGATGAAAGGGGTGGGAGGAGTTGATGGCTGAGTGGATGCTGATGTGCTGCTGACAACTTATCATTCCTGTGGTTCGTAGATGGAAACTAATTTAACGTTGCTTTAATATTCTTAAAAATTATTCTTAAAAATTATTCTCAACAGTAAACAATTAATTGCTACTAAACAAAGTAAATCATATTAATGCATGGCATAGTTCAACTTGAAACGAACTTTAGAAGATCATATTAAGGAATAAACTTCTTTAAATGTGGCAAAATTAAACATAGACTGCGTGATATAAACTTTTGTAACAATAACGTAATTACGTTAGTATGAAATTGCAGACAGTTGAATAAAAATAATTCAACCATCAACCAAGTTAGTCAACCAAGGATGTAGTATCCAGATTCATATGCCTGATGGAGGCAATTATATTCAAGCAAAATTAACAGCTGTATGCAATGGCATGACTTTTAATTTGTGAGCTGTTTGTCACTAGGGTTGTTAATAAAAGTTGAACAATATCAACATATGTAGAATCTATTAAATAACTTTTGCAGCGTGAATACGACGAACAGACCTTTCTTTTTGAGAAACCTCAAAGCATCTTCAAATCCGTTCTGACACATCTGACTGAGAACTTCAGGGGAAGGAGGTAGAAAGCAGACAGCTCCTCTGTAGGCATTGTTGCAGTTAACCTGGGCACTGGTGTTTGCAAGGTTGATGTAGTGCATGGAGTCTGATTGGTCACACGGGCAGATGTCACTCTCTCCAGCAAATGGAGACACAGTGATGGTCCAGTTGTCCAGTTTTGGAAGGTTGTCACTCAGTGCTCCATCCATGTATGGCTGAATCAGGGTTGTTGAGTTTAATTAACTTAAATGATGTATGGAATGTTAGAATTCAATCTGATACTGCAACATTTACAGCATCAAACCTATAGTATTTAATATAACTAGCGCAAGTGACCAAGTCACAATGCAAATGTTTGCATATAATGCATCTTAAAGTTTAACAATGGAGCATATGATGGTTGATATTTTCATCGCAATTAAGCCTGGTCTGTCACATGCAACAATGATGTTTAGTTTGTACTCCTACTAAATGAAAATATGCAACATTAACAATCAATTATAACAACAAATAATGAGCTGTTCAATTCTACAATTACAATAAATTAAATGAAACAGCAGAGTGGCCATATAGTAATAAAGCCAGTGTAATGAAACTGTTACAGAGAACACTATAACATTCAAACAAACATTTGTTGTTCTGATGAACAAATGTCAAGGTAATTTATTTCTAATCAGAACTTCTGAACAAAGTTTGAAAATTTTAAACAAACACATCTTTGCAATTGAGACATGGCAGTAGTGAAGCATGATAGTCATAAACTAGCTATAACAAGACAATATAATACAATACAACACAATACAATACAACAAAATACAACACAATACAGCACAATACAATTCAATACAACACAATACAATTCAATACAACACAATACAATACAAAACATACAAATTTTTGTGAGTGCCTACATTTTTTTTTTTTATTTGCAAGTAAAAGCCTTTAGCATCAAAAAACCAAAATGAAAAATAATCATGAATTTATGTAGAATAATTAATGATTACAACTTAATCCTCAGCTCTAAATAACCATTAAACGGAAACTACCAAATAAATAAACCTCTTGTGTTTTAAGAACAGACAAAGAAAATAAGATTTTTATCTTTTAAGAGTCTTAAATGTACGGTCTTAAATTAAACTGCACATATAATAATAATAACAACAACAATAATCATAATAATAACAATAACAATAAAATAATAACAATAAATAATGTACCTTTCCTTGAAATTGCGGAGGTGTGAAACCTGAATAGAAGGGGATGTATGATGAACAGATCAGGGCCTGGATAAATAAATACGTTATTATTATTATTATTAATATTACTATTATTATAAAATTGATAATAATAATTATTATTACTGTTGTTATTATTATTTACTATTGATGTTTACAAAACAAAATCGTTGTTTCGCTACCCACATCAATTAAATCGTCTTTGGTGTTGAATTTAGAGACCATCTCGTTTTTTAAATCGGGAAATCTTGACAACGAAATGAACAATTTGTTTGTTGTGAGTTTGTGCGCATCTGCCGGTAGAAACTCATTTAAAGTTTTTCTTAGTGCCTCGACCAGATGAAAGTTAGGGTGGAAAGGTCCAAGAAATCTTTTTCTGCATTCCAAGACCAGGTTTAAAACAAATGTTGTACATTCGCCTTAAGTAAGTACATAAATAATATTAATATGTAATGAAATTACAAACAAAAAGATAATTTTAAATAGCATTTTTGGCTTAATTTAATGACAACTATGAAACAAGCTATCTATATCTTGCTTGAGCTTGGCTAATCTCTGTAAATAGCATAGCTGGCATAATTATGACAATATATAAATAACTTTATAACACTATAATGAAGTAATAAGAAACATTAGTTAACTTAATTATAAAAATAAATTTATTCATTTTATTAATTAGTTTATTTCTAAAATAAATTACAATTTTGATTTATATTTAAATTTTATTTAGTTGAGCTTCATAAATACAAAATATAAACATTAAGAAGATTAACAGCAAAAACCTAGCGGCAGATCAGCAATGAGAGCACAGGCCACTAAGGCTCCGGCACTTGCTCCAGCAATTTTATCTTTATAGACGTGGGGGGCATACTTCTTGAAACAACTGGCAACACCTACATGGTATATCCCTAAAAATCCACAACCAGCAAATGACAGATTTAATTTTCCTTTCGGATAGATTGATTCATTTAGTTTGGTCTCCATTTATTTTTTCGAGATCAGAACCAGTACCAATCTCTCAGTGAAAACTGGAAAGCGAAAACTTGAAAAATTTTTTTTTATTTCATGCAATTTTAGGAGAAAACGAAAACTATATAAAATTATAAACTTTTAAATTTAAAATTTAAATATAATAAAAGTTTGTGAAGACCAAATACTGTTTGTTTATTAATCAACTGAATGATTGATAAAAATGACATATATCATTTAAATTATAAATAAACTAAACTAAACGATTTTTAAGTTAAATTTGTTTATTTTATCTGCTATCACCAGTCAGCTAAAATGAAACTTTAGTTTTAAGATGGGCTTTTTACTCTTTATTTAATTCATAAGTATGATCCATGGATATGATCAAACTGTTTTTCGGTGATTTCAATCAACAAAATTTCCAAATATGACACTTTTTCAAAGTTCAAGTTAAATAAATACCTCCATGTGGATATTATACATGTATGTATGTATGTATGTATGTATGTATGTATGTATGTATGTATGTATGTATGTATGTATGTATGTATGTATGTATGTATGTATGTATGTATGTATGTATGTATGTATGTATGTATGTATGTATGTGTGTATGTATGTATGTATATATATATACACACGCGCACATAGTATTTTTACATATACAACCGGAAAGATGAATCGTTGACTTTAATTTTAAAATGAGCTTTTTTGTTTTAATTTACGCGTAAATTTACAAACGTAAATATGAATTTATGTAACTATATATTTGTACCACAACGTTGCTCCACACGTCACATGTTATGGTTACATAACATTTATGTGAGGAGTACTACAAAAGATTGAAGAGCTGAACAACACTCAACAACATCATGAATATGTAAACGCTTGCGTGTACTCAGAATGTAAAATTTATCTAGGCATACAAAGTATATGTGTAATATATTGCAATGTGTGCGCGCGTGTGTGCGCGCGCGTGTGTGTGTTTGTGTGCGTGTCTGTGAGTGTGTGAAGTGAAATTACGAAACGAAACACATTTTCAGTAGACAAAAAAAATGTGAAACCATTAATGAATAATGATTAATGGGAAATTAAGTATGAGCTAGCAAACATCATCTAGGTAAGATTTTTTTTTAATATTATCAAGCTTATAAGCACGTAATTATCTGCAACAACAACAATCCCTTTCACACAAAAATTATGTTGCATTGCTTCAGGTGTAAAGCATACAAAAGCAACGTCAGTGTTGAATCAGAAACATTCTCATCAAAATCTAGAAGCACCACCACTGTCGCCGAGCCCTCGAAGTCAATAGCTCCTCTCACAACCAAATGATCCAAAACCATCACTGTAAAGCTCACTCAAACTGTCTACAGACGATATTTAAAAAATTAGTAGCAATCATGGCTCGATCAACGAACCTCAACAAACCACCTACAACGAAAGCTGTTGAGACAAAAATTAACAATCAACACCATCTTTTTCACGCACTAAATGTTAACGTTTTGACGAATAAAATAAATTTTGATGTAAAAAGCCAATCATCATTTCACCTTGAACTTATCCATCTGAATATAAGAAGTCTTGTCAATAAATCAGACAATTTGTGTGATTACATCACTGAATTCAACACAACTTCTGACGTCATTGCCGTTCCAGAAACTCGGTTGAAAGATAACCTACTCCGCCTAATTATTTTTGCAGATTATGAGTTTTGTAGCTAAAAACCGTTTAATTGGTAAAGGCGAAGGCGTTAGTATGTACATTAAAAACTCCATTAATTATAAATTACACGAGGACTTTTTGTTGAATTATTACTGAATTAAACCGCAAAAAATATTTTATTGCTTCTTATCTACCGGTCACGCCATCTAGCAGAGTTAAAAATTTCTTAAAAGTTCGCCAGAGGCCCATATATATACACTTAAATTCGTATTTTTTAATCTAAACTCTGGTAATGTTTGTTGTTTCGTGCATATAACAATGTAATAAATGAATTTAACGGCATTGCATAACATAAAGTGCCTCAATTTATTTATATATTTTGTGTTGGGCTGTGGTTGAGCTACAGAAAAGGAAAGGGAGTGGTGCGTCTCAAATGATGGTCGGAGCGTCTCAAATGTGGTCGGGGAATCTCAAAGTGGTCTCATATGATGGTCGGTGCGTCCAGTCGGAAAGTCTCAGATTATTCTGAGGTACTCCATAAAGTTGGAGTTTATGCGAGCAAATTTATAGTTTATATAAAAAATTTATACATAACAAGAAAAACTGCAACGACTACTTAAATTCGCACACTGTTTTTTTACAATAATTTACCGTACATATATATACATATATATATATGTGTGTGTGTGTTTGTGTGTGTGTGTGTGTGTGTGTGTGTGTGTGTGTGTGTGTGTGTGTGTGTGTGTGTGTGTGTGTGTGTGTGTGTGTATGAATTAGAAGCAATCTACAATATGCATTAGTAAATGTTCGCACTTTTTAGACTAGGATATGTGAAAAGTTTGAGACGTTTGAAGAAGAACGTAAACAATAACACAGGCACGCAGGCAGGTATGCAAGCATTCACGTTCAAATACACGCACAACATAATGCATGCATACATACACACACTGAGTCTACAAATATCATTGCTGTAATCTTTCGACAATTAAAATCTGCGCAAGAATTAAATAATGTACGTGTTAAAAATATACGAATTAAAAAAATAAAAATTGTATGCTTTTAGAGATGGGAGGTAATGATATTAAAAATTTGTGACAAGATCGTCAGTGTCAACGCCATCTTTACCAGTCCTCACATTACAAGATTTTAACTTGCCACCACCTAGAATGTTCTTCTTATTTTCTGCCGCCCCTGTTGATGATAGGGGTTGTTTTTTGAATCGCACAATTGGTACGGAGCAGTTGTTCGAATGTCTCAAAATAAAATTGTACTCAGTTCGGTTGCAGCAACAACAGTGTGAATTGTTGTAGCAGCATTTACATTTTAGCATCCGGTATAATGTCTGTCTAAATCTTTTACCGGTTACACAATAGAGAAAGAAGTTGGCGGAATGATTAACGTAAAAGATCTGATTAACGATCGGTTTGGCGAGGTTGTAGATGGAAGTAGTTCTTCCACCAGCATCTTGCCAGTATGGTTTTCCGATAAGCATGATGAGACTAGGTATGTTACAGACAACGAAACAGATGGAAGCGGTCAGGCAGAGGATGGTCATCTGCAGAACTGTGCTCTGCTCACTTTCAGATGGGATCTTGTTCTTGTTAGATTTGAGATGTAATAATTTTCGAACTATGAAAAAGTTGCAGATGACGATGACGATTGAAGGGATGAAACTGACCAGAGTTGAGGCTATCCACGGCCGGACGTATCTGACAGATGAACAGAATGAACATTTTTAATTAATGAATGGAATGCAATCGGGAGAAAATTAAAAAAATGATTTGGGCATATTTAATCATACAAATTAAACGATACAAAAAATATCAACCTTTCAAAATATCTATACTCCTTAGTTGGACTGCCACAGTTAGATAGTAGGATCGTTTCATTAAAAACCATTTGTACTGTTCTGTTTAAAAAAACTTCGGTAGATGTATTAGTGGTAAAGTTTTCAGAATGGCTAGCATTAACACCATTATAAAAACTTACGTTAGAAACTAAATGTTCAACCACTTTGTACTCAGCTCCTCTGGTCCAAATTACGTGTAAATTTTTCACCAAAGCCAAGAAGAAAATCAGCATTACATTATAATTAGCGCTAACCGGTGTGTGCGTGAACGATTCGACAAACGGGAAGCAAACAGCCATCAGGCGATCAATGGTAAATGAGATGCAAATCCAGATAGAGGCATCTCCACTCGTGTAAAACGTTAACTTTTCTAATTTGCACGTGTTAGGACTGATTTCTTTGAAAACGAGGATGCCAGAGTACTCCAGCCATTCAGGCACCATGCCAGAGATCAGAGCAAAAACATCGGCCAACGCCATCCAGCAGAGATACAAACACGTCGATGTTCCTCGCATGATGGGCTGCCTCATTACGAGAAGGATGAGAATGTTGCCTATTATGCCGATAGTGAATAAACATGGACCGAAAATAATCCAAAAGTTTCTGGCTACTTTTGAAGGAGAATCGTCGATGGCCATTGTTGTTGTAGTGGTTGTCATGTTCGTTTGGTCAGTCGGTTGATTGGTTGGTTGGTTAGATGCCGTTTTTTGATGTAGTCAGTTGCTTTGCTACCTGCTTTATTTTAATTTCAGCGTTGCAAACTCGTAGCTGTTGGTGAACGAGTTCATGGTGCTAACAGTAGTTATTAATATTGTCAATTTTTCTGAAGACATATTTAGCTACTGATCACTGAACGTAAATTTTTTAATGTAACAATATTACGTCTGCGTCTCAATACGTATGTTGATGTTGTAGTGGTGTAATTTGTCGGCCGGTTCCTTTGTGTTGTATTTACTCGGTTTATGCAAACAGACGAACAAGCAGTACACATCTGTTATATTATTTGTAGTAAATACAAATTTAAAAAGCTTATTAAAATTGATAAAAATTGCATTGCATTTAATAAATATTAGTCATCACTTTATTGTTTATGGTAGAAAAATTGTAGATAAAATTTATTGCTAATGTTCGTTATACAGTATTAGAACAGAATTTGGTGATTATCGTGTTATCTTTTTAACTACTTTATAAGTTATCATTATCTACTTAATCTATAAACTACATTAAATACGTAAACTTATCTTTTTATGAAGAGCTCTAATTAATTGAACGAACGAAACCTTAATATAAGATTAGCTCTAATCTTTTATTTTAAATATCTCACGTACCACACTCTACATTACAAATATTTATGTTAACAACCTTTCTAATTAGTAACCAGCCAATTAATTCACGCATCCTTCTCTTGCCTTATAATCCTAGATTAAATTATTACATTAGGTAACTTACACATATAAATAGTATTACTAACCAATGCTAACTAAATAATGAATAACATCTCTAAACGTTATATATATATATATGTCCGTGTTTGTGTGCGTGTATGTGCGTCTACATACTCTACTCACGTGCATTTTTATCTCTTACGTTGTGTGTTATTCACACACATATTTACCGTAGTATTACGCTGTATGATGCACGTACGTAGTAGTTCATAACACCAGATACTATCTATTATTGCATTCATCGTGCTCTGTCTCTATCTGCTCATAGTAGTATTTGTATGTAGCTAGAACGAGAATATGTTTAACTCATGCTCATGTGACCACCTAAATGCATCACAGATACATATACACAGTACATATCTATATAAATTTGTATGTATAGGCTACAATATACATAAATTCGACCATTAAACCTTATCACATATATTCAGTATCTATATATTCATTGATTCCCAATTTAAATGACCCCTTTGATAAATTTTAAAACATTGTTCAGGCAGACAAAATTTTTCTTAAAACTCGAATCTAATCTAAAACAATAGGCGACTGACGAACTATGGTTAAAAAGAGATGGATGTCGGTGTGCGTGTGTGTTTGAATGAGTGGGTGTACGACTGTACGTGTGTGTGTTTGTGTTTGTGTGTGTGTGTTTGTTTGGCCTGTGTAGTGTGTGAGAATAGTTTGAATATAAAAAAGCTTGATAGAACATCTGTATTAAATTAACAAAATCGGTACACTGTGTGAATTTGTTAGCACGAATAAGCTGTTAGACGTATTTACAACTGCATCTGCATCTACAAACGCATCCCCTATTAATGTGTTAATTAGAGTTAATGAATGATGATTGATGAAAAAACTACAAACCATAGAATTTGAAATAATTGCTAAATAATGTTGTTATCCATTGAAGAGCCTTGATCAATTTTTTTCCTAATTTGTAATATGCCATTTTAACCAACAACTGGCAGTTTTTCAATACATTTTTTAAAAGTGTGTGCGTGGTGTGTGCGTGTGTGTGTGTGAATGCCACGCCATGTACAGGCACAAATATTTAGTACGTGTAAGTACCGCAAGAAACGTACATGTATGTGTGTTTGTGTGTGTGTGTGTGTTTATTTCAATTCTTTGTTTACATTTCTCATCAAGGAAATTGAATATGCAAAAAAAGGTGAAACGCATTCATCCTGCCATTAGCTATCAATCCATCAATGCACTCATACATCTACCTAATCATTCACTCATCTACACACACGTACTATACGTTTCTAATATATGTATGCTTGCATGTATATATAATTATATATATATATATATATATATATATATATATATATATTAATAAATTAATTTTAATAAATGAATAAATTAATAATAAAATTTCTAATTATTTTAGACTGCATTTTTCATATATACATTTAAATAAAAGCTTTTTTCGGTAACCTTTGTTACGGCAATGAAGTCTACAATAATATATATATATATATATATATATATATATATATATATATATATATATATAATCAATTAATATATTAAACATTAATAAACTATTATATATTATAATTATTTGTTTAAAGATTTATTATTGTATTGGTATGCATACACATAGTATATGAGAATTTACACACATAGGCATAAAATATACACATGTCTAACAAATTTTTATATAAACTTTCTTTAAACTTTGACCTGGTTCAACAGTTTGATCAAAGATATGTACTTCTTGTTCGTTGTTAAATTGTTAAAACAAATTTCATTATCGTAGTTTAAATTATCATAAATTTGATATCACCATAGCCGTTAGAAACGCTACCGTCAGCCGTTTCATCGAACGTAAATTGACATGTTGATGAATTTTTGTCATACCACGAATTTCTAATTCCTTCAGCCTTTCAACAAGCGCTTTTGATCGGTTGAAGTGAATATTTTTCAATTTTTTTTAAAGATATAGAAATCAACATCTCAAAGCTATAGACACTTGAGCTTTACGATTGCTTGATGTGAGTTCTTATTACAAGAGAAATGCTTTATTGTTATGTTCATCCGTGTATTTATGCGTACAATCTTAAATAATAAAATAGTAGAGAATTTAAACATATATGATAATCTTTAGGTTAAAACAGGCATTTTTATTTACTGCATGCGTTCGCTTCCATCCTTGCACACCTGCCTGTGAGCGTATGAATGAATATTGAATATGGCTGTTTGATTGAATTGCGTTATGAGTAACAGTTATTCACCACCATCACCATATGTGTGTTTACCAATTTAACCTATTCATAACAACAAGCATACAATATAACTTCTTTACTCAAAATACACAATGATATCCTTCGCTCTAGTGACAATATTAATCTTACTCTTCTTGCTCTTGACTTTCCCTCTGCCCTTGATACTGTTGATCATACTATTCTCTTAAGGCTGCTAGATCTTTCTTTTAATATTGCTGATTATTGTCTATCTTGGTTTTTTTTTATCTCTGTAATCGTTTTTCTCCTGTTGTTCTCAATAACTCTACTTCTAAACTTCTAACTCCTCTACTCTTACTTTTGGGGTACCTGAGGGTTTTATCCTTGGCCCTCTTTTATTTATACTCTATACCTCTGAACTACCTCGTATTATTAATAACTTTTTTCACTAGTCAACTATATGCTGATGATTCTTATATTTATTCTTCTTTTCCTCCATCTAATCTTCATAATCTATTTCTATGTCTTTCTTCAATTATCGCTTGGTCTGACTCTATGTGTCTTAAACTTAATCCTTCTAAATTTGAAATAATTTGTTTTAATAAATCTAATCACTCTATTACTATTCCTCCTATTATCTTACGTGATTCCACAACTCTTGACGTTTCTCACAAGTTTCATAGTCTAGGCTTTATCTTCGATTCTAGTATGCCTCTTTCTTCTCAGATTAATAGTGTTGCTAGAAGTTTTATCTACGTATCTTTTATCTACGTAAAATAAAAAAACTTTTGCTTTTTCTTGATGATCCTACTCTTCTCCTTCTTGTTACTTCGTTAGTTTTATATAGGATTGATTATTGTAATTCGCTCTACTATGGTCTTCCTGATTCTACAGTCTATCCCTTAAGCAAAGCTTTTAACTCAGCTGCTCGTCTAATTGCTCGTGCCCCCTTTTTTCTCATATATCACCATATCTTGTTCTCCTGTACTGGCTTCCTATAAAATATAGAATAATTTTTAAAATTTGCACATTTATGTATAAGTCTCAATCTAAATTATTTCCTAAGTACTTATCAGATAAACGTTTCGGTATAAGATCGTCTTGTTCTCGCTTCTTCTTAACTCGTGTTAAACACTCCTTTACTAAATCTGCTTTTGCTTTTTCTGGCCATTTTCTCTAGAACTGTCTACCTACTTCTCTGACTACTTCTCCATCACTTACCAAGTTCAGAGCGGATCTCAAGACCCATCTGTTTGCAAATTAATTGAGGAGCGCTGTTGAACATCGCGGAAATAGCGCTTTACAAGCTAATTGATTGATTGATTGATCGAATTGATTGAATATGTATTAAAACTTAGCATTAATATTTGTTACTTTAATATTTTTTGACTATTTGAAGTTTTATCATGAATACCATTTTTTAAGAACCCGTTAACCAAATGGAAAATATCTTTACAAATCAAAGAAATGCAATTGATGAAATATAGGTGCCAAATTTATAAATTATAAACCAAAATATAACTTTTAAAAGGTTGCATCATTAAACAATAAAGAACATGGTATTTATCCAATGCATAAAAAATTGTCACAAAAAAATTATCTTAACGGAAATTGTTTATTATTATGCATTTTGTAAGTAATAATTTTATTTTATGTGGTAAAGATGAATGAGAATATTTAATCTTGGTAAAGTAAGTGATTGGATGTTTCATGTCAAGATCAAAAATTATGACGCTGATTGATAATCAACAAATTATCGTAGTTGAAATAACATGTCTTGCCACAAAAATATCTTGATTATTATGGAATTTCTAAAGTATATACAAATGCTGCCACACTGCCACATGATTGTGTAAATGTAAAGTTTTTCCAGAAGATGTTATGACCATGGATATATCCATGGCTATGACTGGTCCTGCGTTTTGTTGCTATGGCCGGGTTCGAATTCTAAATGATTACCACCCATCAAGTAGTATCAACTACCTCAGAACAACTTAATAATGCGCATAAAGAGAAAATAAATTAATACGAGTAAATGCTACTTTACTTTATCCTTTTTTAAATACAAATCTTTCATCTGTAAAATGTAGCTTTGAAACCACATATATATCAAATGAGATAATTGAAACGGTTCTAATGTGAATAGTTATCGTTACTAAAATATACTCATTACACATCTCTCTTGTGTTTTCAGGTGTTTATTAAAGTCCATCAGTCGTCCTGCTCCCTGTTCTTGCGTGACTTTTCCTAAAAGTTCGCTGAAGTCAGACTGTCTCAAACTTGCTTCCAAATTTGAACCAAAATGATTACTTATTTACCGTTAAAGCAGCTGCTTTTGCAATTTGTTTTTGTCTGCTTGTTCGGGATTTATGGATTTTTCATGTTTTTGTTTAATCTGATAAAAAACGGACCCGGGTCTCTTTGCAACAAGGCGCGCTCGGATCGACCTGAGGTGTTGACCAACAATGAATATGGAGAACACAAGTATGTTCTTCTTAAGGTTGGCTCTCAATCTTTCTTTTATTAGTTTATTTAAATTAATTAATTAATTAATATCATATTGAAGACTGATATTCAATGGTTTGCTTTTGCTTTTTGCCTGATGTTTATCATGAGATATTCATAATTCATATTACTGTTGTTGAGAATTGACTATTGAGACATTTATAGATTTGAATACATAAATTATGTTAATTATTTTATTTGGAAATTATGTTATTTATTATATATATTATATATTGATTCTCTAATGCTAATCTAATGTTTAATGTTTAGTCATAATGTTAACAATTTAACATCATAGTAATAAGTAATTGTAGTGTAATGTAATTGATGTAGTGACATCTACTTTTCTTATTTTTATGTAGATGTATTTTCCCTATAATCATTTACAAAATAACTCATATTTATCTACTACTTTTTATTAATTACCAATCAAGTTGTCAATGACATGGTTTGTTTTAGTCATTTTATTTATTTACTTGACATGTGTAAAAACTGATTCAACAGAAGAGCAGGATGAAACTGCATTGTGTGGTCAGTGGCCCAGTAAATGGACCTCTGCTTCTCTTTGTTCATGGCTTTCCTGAGTTCTGGTACTCTTGGAGACATCAAATCAAAAAGTTCATGAAAACTCACAGGTTTAAATTGGTTAAATTGATTTAGATGAAATTATTGTCGTCACTAAATATAATGCATTAGGCTTTTTTATTTATATAAAATATGTAGATAGATTTTATAATATAATAAGTACATTTATACATACATACATAATGTGCAGAGTTGTAGCAATTGATATGAGAGGTTATGGTGAGTCGGACAAGCCACATGGAATATTAAACTTCACCATAGATAAGCTAGTAGCTGATCTAATTGAACTCATTAATGAACTTGGTTATTATATGTTGTTGTATTTTCCATATTAATTTATTGCCTTTCATTGGTTATATGAACATTTATTTACATGATAAAAAAATTTTATATATAAGAAAATGAATCAAAAATCTTATAATCCTTGCCAATATTGTACCAGGTTATAAAGAATGTTCATTGGTGGCCCATGATTGGGGAGGAGCAGTTGCCTGGTGTGCAGCTGCCCACCACCCTGACATCATCAAACAGCTGATCATTCTCAACTGCCCTCATCCACTTGCTTTCAGGATGCACATAAAAAGCTCTTTTGGTCAACTCTTCAAGTCATGGTATATAATAACTTTTTAATGATATGAATGAATAAAACAAAAATAAGTAATTTAATAATAGAGTTAGAAACCAGTCAAGTGTGATATCCTATCAAACGAATGAACATTACTAGTTTTCACTAGTTAACTATAAAATGCTGTTTCATGTGCTATTCTTTAGTGACCAGATTTGAGTGCAAAGAAAGTCATGTCTACCATATGCCTAAACCACAATCGTCCACATCTGTGCATTATGTAAATGTCAAATGGTGCCATGTATGCTAATAATCTATTATTTAATTGATGATTGGAACATATTAAAAGATAATATCATCTGATTGACAAAATAATGACAATGACATCAAGACAGAAATTGTAATAAAATTAGCATTAATTACATTACTTACTACTGTTGCCAACATGCTACATTAAATGTTTGCAGGTACATGTTTTTCTTCCAGCTTCCATTACTTCCTATTGTCTCCCTTCAGATGAACGACCTCTCATTTATTGAGGATATATTAACTAAGAAGCCGTTTGGCTGTCATGCTGGAGCTTTCACTGGGGAAGATATAGAGGCTTTCAAGTACACATTTGCTGAGTACAGTTAGTTCTTTAATTGTTTTCTGGTAAATTTGCTGATGAAATGATTAAAGAGATGAGCTTTGTTTGACAAATGCAACAAATTTGGTTACTTAATATAATATTAATACTGCTGTTGACAAATACAGGTGATTTATGCGGACCCGTCAATTACTACAGAGCAGCCATGCGCTACAGTTCATTGAGTCTCGAACCTCTGAATAAAATAAAAGTACCAACCCTTATCATTTGGGGCACTGAGGATCAAGCACTTGACACTGAACTTGCAGACAAGTCGAAAGAGTTTTGTGATTTGTGCATTGTGAAGTACGTAGAGGGGGCAAGTCACTGGGTCCAGCAAGACAATCCAGATGATGTCAATTCACTGATTGAATGCTTCTTGAATGATCTTGACACCATCAAGAAGAGAGATTGAAAGAATTTTCCATTTATTTTCAAGTAGTCCTACCAGTTCGCTATATTTTGCTATTGCTTGTATTAATTACTATTGTTACATAGACGTTGGTATAAGTGATTAGAATGAAACTTACGGCTGGCTAATCAATAGCATTCTTATTGCAACGTGTTTATCAATGACAGACGTTGCTGTCGTCAGTTTCTTTGCGTGTCTTTGTTATTTGTAAACCGATCTTTATCAGAATCAAAATTTCGGGTCATGTCCTCTCTATTAGTCCTTTGTAACGTCATTGTCATTAATATCTTTTGTTGTTGTGTATCTCAGAGTATTATAATCATACATAATGAAATATCTTTTTCAATTAAATTTATTTTTTAAAGTTATCACCTTAAATTTGGAAACCGTTTATTAACCATTGTTTAGACGGTATTAAATTACATATTTTATATGTAATTTATGGCTATTTGATATATAATCTGAAATAATTATGTTGAATAACTTTTATTTGAAAGACTTAGAATATATATTACTTTCACAACTTGATAGTCACTGATTTCTAAATTTGATTTGTTTTTTCTAATGTGATATGGTTATTAATCTTTCTTCACAATTGTTTCTTTTTAAATTTGAGACACGGCTGCATAATTTTTACCTCATTGCTGATTGTGTCATTTGTTGAATACTTTGCTATATACAATTTATAACTTTTTGTTCACGTTTTTTGAGAAATGCTTTTAATAAATAAATTAGCGGTGTTAAAAAATAACCGATCATCATTTACTGGAAATACATTTAAAAATCAGTTTTCAGACTTATCGCAAGGTGCAAAAATTTAAAACAATCGCGTAAAACGTAATTTAAGAGTTACATAGTCAAAGACTGTTGGCTCGTTTTAAACATTTTTCTGCGGTTTCATTTAAAATTTACTTTATTTTGGTAATTTTTGGAAAACTGTTGAAAACGTTCTACAATTTTCCTTTATCAATTGTATAGATAATATGTTTATTTTATCAAATGCTTGAATAATGAAATATAACAAAAATAAAATTAAAAATAAGTATATGTACAAATGAAGACGAAGATGCGTCTAAGTGTGTTGCGTACGTGAACTGAGCACGTATATGATGCTTACATTAATTTATTACGTTCACAACTAATACAAATATGTACAAATAAACAAAAACGTAATAAGAAATAATGAATATGTATATGTATTGGACATCTTAAATGATGTGCTGAATGATGGGTTAATGAGTATATAAACGAATAATACAATAAAATATAAAGTTACGTAGGAAAAATCTGTTAGAGGACAAAAATCTTAAAATTAATTCATCCAGATTAATGAGTGCAGGTTCGTGTGATTTCAATTGACAAACAATTCCCAATTTTTACATCCATTTTATAGTTAATTCGTTAATGTAATTAATCAGGTAATAGAACATTGAATGAATGAATAATGAAGGTCTGCCTTTAATTTTCGGCTAACTTTTTCTAAGTGCAAGGAAAATATATAATGGCGTTGAAACTTGTGTACAAAAAATGTTACGATCAACTTTCTACATGTGCTCAATACTGTTTGTAACAACATAATAAATGATGAATAGTAAACAACGAGTGTGACAATAAGGAATAATAATAGGAATAATAATGAAAAAATAATAATAAGAAGGAATAATCATAGCAACCGAAATACTCCAGTTCGTACAAAAATACACTACAGATAACCGCAACCAATCCAATCAATCAAACAACCAGTAAAGTGAAAGATCAATCAATCAGCTAAGTAATTGATCAATCGACCAATCACCCAACCAATAAGGATATAGTTGAACTATACTGCAGTAGAAGATTTTAATATGGATGTTACTAAGCAACGTGACGTCATAAATATTTAAATGATGGATGGTTGGAAGATAAACAGACACTGAATGGATAGAGAAAATTGATTGATGGATAAAAAAATGAATGAATGAATAAATGAATGAATAAATGAATGAATGAATGAAAGTACAGACAAACTAATAAAATATCAGCACATCATCCGATCATTTTATATATTGTCATTGTTATTGGACATTTACAATTCAATTTAATTTAACTGAACGGAGCGACTATTTTTAAATTACAGAAAGCGTAGAACGTAACGGAAATGAAATGAAATAAATAAAAAATGGAATAAATAGGAAGAAAGCAATTTTGTGGTACTGATGAAAAATAAAATTTAAATACTATAAATAATCACGACATATCAGAAGTTAATTCACACAAATTAAAAAAAAATTGAAAAATAATTTAATTTACAACTAGGAAAAAGTAAAAAAGAAAATGCCTAAATCAACGAACATTTAGAGTTTACAAATGAACGAAAAATCAAACAATGGTATATGAGAAAGAAACATTGATTAATGGATACAAAACAACATCATGCTATCTATCATACATGATATGCAATCTGATACTTTCAAAGAGTCTACAGACAAACTATCAGACAACAGACAAATGAACAAGCAAAAAAAATCAGATAGACAGACGCATATCTTTGTGCATAATAACCCTATTGTACAAGAGTATTTCACAAACATGAAATCATGCCTACCAAAAAATTACAACAACGTATAATATAGTAGCAATATTATTGTAAATAATTTGCTGCAAACGCGCGCTCAAACACGAGTATGCGTTTGCGCGTGAACTGCTAAAAATTTTTTTACAAAAACTCGAAATCTAAAAAAAAGTATAAATAATATGTGACACGTATTGAAATAATAAAATAATTGAAAATTAAATAAAAATATCAAGCGTCTATGTCAGCAAGCATATTTGTTGTTTTTGTTGATGTTGTTGTAGGAATTGACGAGGAAGATAACGTTGTTGTTACTTTCGCTGATGATGGTGAAGATGTAAAAGATGGTCTTGTAGTTGTATTGTCTGCGTAGTTTGTTAAGACAGTTGAAACGGACGTTAAAGAATTGGATGAATTTCTAGCAGTTGCTAGTGTTATTACAGTCTGATTGGTTGTCGATGATGTTGTTGATGTGCACTTAGCATGAGGATTGTTTGCATTCCTTGTCGCATTAGTTGACGTTTGATGTTTTTTTGTCGAAGTCCCACCTTCATCTTTAACGATGTCATCATCTTGAACGCAATTGTTAGTGCTATTTCCGTTGGTAGCCAAATCTCTGTTATTATCGTCTGCCAGATTCTTCTCCAGGTTGCTGAGTTGGGCCCTGAGAGATTTGTTATCTTTGGTTAGCCAATCTATTTCCTGTCCCAGTGTGTCCATGCATTCCTGCAATTATTTAAATAAATAAATAACTAAATAAATAAAAAAACATTATTTTTCTTCATCATATGATAAACATCATTGCCAACATCATATAAAAATTTTCATAAGATGGCCAACATGAATTCTACATCCATAATAGGAAATAACAAATGTTACATAGTCATTATATTAATCCACGTCATCCTCATCATCTTCATCATCATCTTCATCATCAAATTCAATCAACATCGTCACTATCATCATCGCTCTGCAGCAACCTTAAGTTTAATATTTTTCAAGAGTGTGTCCTCGACAAGAGCTTGCAGCTTCCTGTTGATTTCAATAGAGAGTGCCATGGACATGGAGCCATCAGTGTGGTTGGAGCCGAAAATGGATGCCATTGTTGTACCACCCTTGCTAGCAAGCAGGGCCTGTGTATGTGTGCGAGTGTATGTGTATGTCTGTCTGTGTGCATGTGTGTGTCTGTGTGTGTGTGGTGTGTGTGGTTTAATTAGAAAGTTGAAGTGAACAAATATAACGCACGTTAGAGATATGTATGAATTGACTGGGTGGGTGCTTGTGGTAAGATGATCGGTTTGATGGATGTGTGTGAGAAAATATCTGTGGTTTCAATGTTTTTTGTTCAAGCAACTCAACTCACTTTATTCCTGTCCGAAGACTCTGGCACCAAAGATGCTGCATCGACTCTTATTGCATATTCCCTAATTATCCTTAAATAATAATAATTAACAAATGAAAATTGATAAGGTAACGCAATTTTAAATAGTAAATAATCTCTGGAAACACTTTTATATATACAGCATAGTGATGTTTTAAAAACTAGTATACTGGCAAAAAATAATAATACAGCGAGATTAGGTTTATTCTTAAATGGATCTCCAAGTAGAAATTTAAAAGAATGTTAGAAATGGCAAATACTTGGATTTTCTATGCAATTCCTCAGTCAGCTGTGCCACATGTTCCTTCAAGAACTCAATTCTTCCAGCCTTCCTCCTCAGATGTTGTTGCAGTTGCTGGATCCTTTCATCGACACTGTTCTCAACGTTATTAAAATTTGCTGGCTGCTGTAACTGCTGCTGCTGCTGTGATGTTGATGGTGCTGCTGTTGTCGATGTGGTTGCCGTTGTTGCTGGGTTCGTCAGTGATGTTGACTTGCTTGTTGACGAATTATCCTGCTGCTGCTGTAGTTTGATTAAGCAACTCCAGTCGTGAATTTTAAATAATAACTCCAAAGAACAAAAGTCGCTACAGGTAATATACCAATGTATCAAGAAATAAAACCATAGATAAGTGATAAAGCAAAACTACCACTTGAGAATAAATCATTCACTTAGCACTTCACAGGCGAAAATTATGCATAACAAGACTAAAACTAGAATTCTAGGTTGCCAAATCACCTCATTAGAAGTCCCATGCTTAGAATGATTTGATTGGACGATAGGTGGAGAAGAAACCGTTTGATTGGCAGTTATGGCATCCAATGAAAGTGAAGACCCACCATGAGAACGCCAGGAGCACAAAGAGTTGTTGTCCCTATCCCCAAGTTTGCCATTTTGTGAAAATTCTTCAGCTCCATTTATAGGCCTTCGACTTTGCAACTGTCTTCTTAAGTCCTGTTATGTCACATTCAACCTTCTATTCATTATGTTATAACTGTATAATTTTTTTTTTTTTTATTATTCTTTAAAAATCAGGATCTGACAGACGCAGAAACTGTAACAACATGCAAGGCAGTGAAACAAAATTAAACAAATAAGTGAGAAAATAAATACAAAAAGTGAGGAAGATAAATGATAAAACATGAAAAATAAAATATGCTAGAATAAAATAAATAATAATAAGACAAATAGAAGAAAAGTAATTGACGATGGAATATAAAAAGAGGTAACGGCAAATTAATAGACTAGATGATGACTTAGTGTATATCATAAATCAATTAAGACAAAAATTACTCACTCTGATGATGAATGAATGGATAGATGAATGAATGCATAGATTACTAGCTAAATAACTAAAGTAACCTTAATGATTGCATTGTGCTTTCTAGTGCTTATCTTCATGTCATCCTCAATCTCCTTCAATTTCAAATTCAGAGCCTCGACTGCAAAATAAAAAAAATAATCATAACAATAACTTTTTACAACCGTTAATAGAATTATAATAATTTTATTTTTGATAATATAAACGCAACGACATCATCATCACCGACATCATCATCGTCATCGCCATCACCTTTTGCTTGGGATTCCTCCAGTTTCACTTTCAGTTCTTCTATCTGTGTCACATGATCAGAATTCAATCTCTCCTTTGCGATCATCTGAAATTATTGGATGGGGATGGCGAGGGTGATTTAGACCAAAAACAAGTGGAAAATAACAAGATATACATACAAGACAACACATTTTAACAAAATCAAAAAAGGAAAAAATAAAGGAGCTAATATAAAACATACAACATACACTTACAACTATATTTATACAGTTAGATAGAATAATATTAGCTAATTAAAAAATAAATAGACCATATTTGACAACAAAAATTACCAGACTCATTGGTTGGAAGTCAATTAATGAAAAAAAGTACAGAAATAAAAATTAGATAGACATCGCACATACCAGCTCTTTAACTTGTTCATCCAGTGAGGAACATTTCTCTTCAAGTAATGTCAAATTCTTTGTGGCAAATTCCAACTAGGTACAATTGCATGAAGACGATTATTAAAATAATTGAAATTCTGATGAGGACTGTGAAATCAATCAATCATACGGCCACTAAGCACATCACCACTAACTTCAACCTCCATCTTGTCACGCGATGCCTGCAATTCAGAATTGATTTGCGATAATTTGCTGTTGAACTTCAAGTTTTCATCCTCCCTCAACTTGCTTAGTGCCAGCTCATTGGTAAGGTCTGCATGGGATGACTCCAGTTCCGACAATCTGACAGTTGCTGTGCTCAGTTCTGACTTCAATCTGTTTATTTAGAAGTTGTTTTTCAATAAAAGTTTAATCCACACTGATGATAAGCTAGGGTAAAAATCATTTTATAGAGACAACTGTTTGTCCATATTTGGTGTGTATATTTTTCTAACAATTACAAATGTGTATTTGACCATAACTTTTCTTTATGAAAAGTTTTCATTTATAAAAACCGGTATGATTAAAATATATTTATATATAAAATATACCTATATGCAGATTGTGACGCACTGATTGCAAAAGCAATTTGAATAATAACGACCTAATACATATTCCTAATTGAGTCAATTAACTTTATACGATAATATTTACCGTCTGAATAAACAAATAATTGTTCAGTATATCAAATATGAACATTAAAAAAATGACAAAATTCGACCTTGCATAGTCATCTCCCATGTTCTGTAGCTCACTGATCTTATGCTGCAAGTCAGTGTTGTTCTCACGCTGCACAGTCAGTTGCTGATGTAATGAGGTCACCTCCTCTTGCTGAGTCTTGTGCTCCAGTTCCAAACAGTGGATCTGGTTGTGTGGTGGTTGTGTGGTTGGTTGGTTGGTCGAATTTTCGGATGAGTGAATGATTGGTATATTGATGGGGTGTGAGCGGCGGTAACAATTTGAAATAATAAGTAAAACTAGGTACTGAATTCTCATCCTAATACATAAACAATTAATCAACCAGACCATCTAAAGCAGCCAAAAAACAAACTCACAAGTTAATCAAAATGAACAACTGATCAATCAATAACCAACAAACAACCAACCAATCAACCAATCGATCAATCGATCAATCGATCAATCAATCAATCAATCAATCAATCAATCAATCAATCAATCAATCAATCAATCAATCAATCAATCAATCAATCAATCAACCAATCAATCAATCAATCAATCAATCAATCAATCAATCAACAAGCAATGAACAATCAAAAAATAAACCAGCCACCTTATCTTTGTACGTCTTCATTTCTGAAACAATTTCCTTCTGCTTCCAGAGCAAAGTCATCAGATCCTTCTTAATGGATTGGAAGGCTTGGCATAAATTAGTAACGTCGATTTTTGGTAGAGAGGCCAATTGCGCAATTGTTTGTTGAGGGAAAAGCTCCTGTTATGTGATTGTGTGTGCGTGTGTGTGTGATTATAATGTGTGTAACTGCGATGAGTGTGTGCGTGTGCGCCCCCGCACACGTGTATACAAAAGTGACAACCAACAACAAATAAAATATTCAACAACAGGTGAAAAAGTTTGCGTAAAAAAGAATTGTGGGAAAATAAATGTAACAACAATGAAGGTTGAATGTAGGAAATCATAAAAAATTTTAGATGAATAGAAGATAAAAGTTAAAAATTGGAAAAAAGATGACGTCACCTTAAGAACATTGAACATATTTCGAACTGTTTCTGATAGGATGGTAGCTTCATTCTTCAATTCATTCACCAAATTTGTGGAATCAGACAACTTTGTGACTGTCTCCTGTTTGTGTACATTAACGTGCGCATTAATTTTTAAGACAGGCTCAAATGTTCACACATATTTACATTTACAGTGCACACGAGACCTGCAGCCAATTATGTATATGTCTATTATCAACATTGGATCTGTCCTATATGCAGGTTCACTGCTTATTTTAAATTATTACCTAAGCTGCCACTTTACTAGCTACTTCATGTGAACATTTTTACAAGATTTTTCAACGTTTACAACTTTTTAACACAGGCATATAGATTTAAGGCCATCACAAGAAATGTATTCAACATAAAATATTATAAACAAAAACCTGTGTCCAGAAAAATAAACAAACCAATAGAAAAAATAGTTTCAACAAAATGTGATTAATATATATAATAATAAAAAAATGAAAACATATTTTCAAGTTCTGAAACTACAAAACAAAAAAACTAACCTTGTGGCTGTCTTGTTCTGTTTTCAATTTGTTCATGTGCCATTTTATCTTAACATCACAGGATGACTCAGCTTCCTTCAATTTCTCATTTTCTTTCTTTAACTGCAAGATTTCTGCTTTCTGCAACACACAAATCAACATTTGATTTGACTTTCAACTTTATAGCAATGCAATAAAATGCAATAATAAATAGTAAACAACTAAAGTGCGTACATAAAACATCAGAACAGCATTTAAAATGATGGAAGTTTTGATGTAAATTGAAGTACATTGCTGTTTTAACATACAACTTTGGAGAAAAAAAGGAATAAACTATCATCAATAAAGACAAAGGTTCAGTAAAGTTTGAGAAGTATCATGGCTGTGAGTTAATTTTAATAGGACAACAATTCATAATCGATAGACAAAAGTCGTTCATGGTTCATCCAGCAATCAACGACTATAAATTAGACATTCACTCAAAATTTATATTGATCCAATGAACAACTTTTATAAGTTAATAATTACATTTTTAGGATATGCCTCCAAAGAGTTAACCAAAGTGTCAACACAAGTTTTGAAAGTTGAACTTCATGATATTGCATGTGAAAAAAAACAGCATTTGATAAAAAAATAGACTTTGAATTTGAAAAAATTGATGCTGGTTATTGCACAGCACTGCAATTTAAACGTGAACATGTACTCTCTTCGGTTATTAATAATAAATCTCTATTACTCAATCATAATCAACACAGACAAATTTGCTAAAGGCAGTGTAGAAACAATCCTTTCCTATAGCAAAACCTGACACATTATCCTCACATCTATACTACCATCATCAGCAGCAGCATCAACATCATCACCTGGACATCACAGATATCAAATGCCCTCTTGTTCTCCTCCTTCATGACCTTCCACCTGGCCAGGGCAGTCTCCCTCTCCTTCGCCCACTCTTTCACTTTGTTCTCGGCTTTCTGCGCTCTCTCCAGCAACTCCATGTTTTTCTGTTCTGCCTGTGCAAATCTCACCACGACTTCATCCTTCTCTCTCCTTGCTTCATCCAGTTTCTTGTTCATCTTACAGGAAAAATGTTACAAAATATTAGCAAATAAAAAACCAATAAAATAATAATAATTGTTATAAATTACAGAAAGAAATAATAAAATATGAAATATAATATGTTAAAATTTACAATGAACAAGAATGAAACAACAAGCAAATGAAACAACAAGCAAATGAAACAACTAGTAAACGAAACAACAAAAAAACAAAACAGCAAAACATTCCCTTCCATATTAAGACTTACCAAATCTAGTTGCAGCAGATGGTCCTGACTGCTGTCAAAGTTGTCCTTCTTACATAATGTCAGCTGTCTCATCAACTTCTCTTTCAATTCTTCAAAACTTCGATCTTGCTCAATTAAGCGATCTTGTAACTATGGAAACCATAAGTTAATTTATATTAGTAGGTGTAATGTGTGTGTGAACCAACCCAAATCTTAAATACCATGACATGAAGCAATAAAAACATACATACATGAATTAACTTTTTATGTGATGCAAAAATGTATCTTTACTTAGGATATTACTAAATGTAATATTGTTATCAATATAAATGAATCAGACATGTGAATTATTCTAAACAACTGAAGCTCACTTCTTTTTGTTCCATCTCATGATTCTTGACCATCACATCAATTTTCCTTTCCAAGTTGATGTTAACAATCTCCAGGCTCTTTCTTTCCTCTGTAGTGTGATTTAATCTCATCATGAGGGCATTGTATTTTTTGGTTAGAGTTTCAAGATCTTTAACTGCTGTTGACTGAGCTGATAAATTGATAGATATGTCGCTTGATGATTCAGATACACTCATGTCAATATTGTTACCAGAGTTGTAAATGTTGGAGCTATGTAGAGTTGAAGCTGGTTCAGCCAAATTTCCTAACACAACTCTTTCCAGTTCATTCAACAAATCATCATCAGATGTACTGTCTCGATCCTGTTTGGCATCATTAGATTCTAAATTAACATCATCAAACTGGCTACTGTGCTTTGCATCATGCAGCAGAACATTCTCACATAAACTTGATGTTTTTTCTAATGCTTCATTATCTGAAAAAAATCGTGTTCCATTTTTAGATGTTGAATTACAAACCTGAAAGTTTAAATTAGCTGAACAAGATTTCAAGTTATCAGTTGAGGTCGAACTCATCATTAACTCAATGGTAATGTCGCTCATCAAGGCATCCTCATTGCAGTCACTAATTCGTCCTCCATGGTTGTTAACCCTTTTATATTGGTTGCCATCATCCAATAATGATGTATTTTGGTGGTTGATGCTTTTGTCATCGTGCATCAACTGCATTTGATCAATAATTTCATTGTTATCAAGTTCATCACTTTCATAATCTGGTCGATTTATTAATTTATTCTCTGAGAAGCTCAGTGTAGAGAGCACATCCCTGGACTGTTGGTCACATGAACCAAGCAAAGATTGTTCCATGTCATTATTATTGTGAAGCACTAATGCAGAAGATGACATTAATTTGCTATTAATTTAATTTATTATTTATAAAGTTTTATCACTAATTATATTTTAATTTTTAAAATGCAAAGTTAAATGAAAATTCAAAATCAAATTAATAAATCATATTTATCTCAACATCTATTTAATCTTAAGTTGTTTTAAAATATAAAAACCACTTTTATTTTAAAATTATAAATATTAAATTAAAATTAAAAAAACTTTATTGCTGAATGTTAAATTAAGTTTTTTAAATTTAAATTTGATTAAAAAAACCTTTTTTAAGTTGGTTAAATTAAAATTTTAAACCAAAGTTCAATCAAATGTTTACAAAATGACGTGAATAAAATGACAGACGTGAACACGAGTACAAAAATTTGTCGGTATGAGAATTTATTAATTAGTGGTTTTTTTTAGATAAAGCTTACTTCTTACATATCTACTAAAAAAAATACAGCAGCCATAACCATAACAATAGAACGATAGATGGTTGGATGATCAACTATCTAACTAGGCATTTAAAATAACTAAGCTTCTCTCATAAAGATCACTATACAATAGAAAACCAAAAAATTGTTTCGGATATTATTCAAGAAAACTAAATTTTTTGTATTTTTTCTTATTCCAACTTCACCATAAATTTCCAAATTTTGGCGTTAAAAATCGATATTAATCTTTATTCTTAATGTTTATTTTAAACTTAGAACGTCATAGATTTTAAGACTTGATTTTTCTCGTAAATCTCGCTGCCTTTGCTTTATCTTCAGTTTTAGCGTGTCTGTTTTCTCTCAAATAATTAGTACAGCTGAAAGTTCTTACTTTCATCTACGTAGAATAAAAATATTTTGTTTATTCTTGACGGCCCTACTCTTCTCCGTTTCCTACATGTTATTTCTTCTAATTTTATATAGGATTGATTATTGTAACTCGCTCTGCTATGGTCTTCCTGATTCCACACTCTATCCTTTAAGAAAAGCTTTTTACTCTGCTGCTCGTTTAGTTGCTCGTGCCTCTATCTTTATTGCCTCATGTATTTCTATATCTTGTTCTTTTACACTGGCTACCTTGAAGTATACAATAATTTTAAAATTAGCACATTAATGTACTAATCTCAATCTTAAATATTTCATAAGTACTAAAAGATATAATTATTAAACCTAAACGCCACGGTTTACGATCGTCTTCTCGTTTTTACTTCTTAACTACTGTTAAACACTTTTATGCTAAATCTGCATTTGCTTTTTCTGGCCATTTTCTCTGAAACCCTCTACCTCCTTCTCTAACTACTTCTCCATCAATTCCAAAGTTCAGAGTAGATATTAAGATCTGTCTGTTTGTGGAATTTAAAAAAAAAATTTCGGTCAGGTTTGGTATTGGTAGTGTGGTGCTCGATTGATTTACATCATATTTGACGGGTTGTGAATTTGTTACAAAAGGTATGTTTTGATGGTTTGGTGTTTGATGAGATGGAAATGCAAACAGGTGTACCACAGGGATCAGAGCTAGGTACAATATTATTTATCATGTATGCGTCTGGGTTACCGGGTTTGATTTATGATCTTGATTTGAGTATTCACATGTATGCGGATGACCTACAAAGCTATGCTGCAGGTCTGGTGAAAGATGCTCAAGCTATCTCTGATAGTTTAACTAGGTGCATTATTAATGTGAAAAATTGATTAAGACTCAAAAGTTTGAAGCTAAACCTTGACAAGACGAACTTGATATGGTTTGGCTCTAGGAAAGCTTTATCCTTACTAGTAGATGTGATTTTTGATATATTGGGTAATAGGTTGATCTCAGCTGATAAAGTCAAGAACTTCGGTGTGGTGTTTTACAGTGCTTTGACGACGTTGCCTCACTTGGCTAACTTAATGCTAATTGCTTTTTACAGCTACGAAGATTTTATTTGGTCAAGAAATGTCTTTTAGATGATATTTTCACTAGTTTGGTGGTGACTTTGGTACTGTCTAGATTGTATTATTGCAATTCGTTGTTGCTGGTGCGGCGCAGTAGTGGTAAATAAAGTTCAACAAATCCAAACCGCTGCCGCCAGATTGGTCATTGGTTTCGGTAGGCGTGATCACATCACAAAGTGTTTGGAAAGTCTCCACTGGTTGCCGATTGGGGAACGAATAAAATTTAAGATGACATGATTGCGTACATGGTTATGGTCCCAAACATTTGAAGGAGGTGTTTTGCTAGAGAACTGAAGTTGATGTGGGATATTGCGTTCGGTTTCGTCAAAAAGGATGACATTGCAAGGGCTAGAACAAAACTGGGTAACAGATGTTTGCAGGCTGCTCTGCCAAAAATATGGAACGATCATCAAAAAACATTGAAGCACTGTTTCATTAAATAACTTTAGACGAGAGTTAAAAAGTTATTTTTTCAACAAAGCATTTAATGAATCACAGTTAAATCCTCTGAGGAATGCTAGTAGAGTAAATCAATAATAATAAAAGTAATAATAATAATAATAATATAATAATATGATAATATAACAATAATAATAATTGAGGAGCGCTGTTGCTGTTGGACAACGCGAAAATAGCGCTTTATAAACTACTTGAATGATTGATAGATTAAATGATTGATTAATTAATTGGCTAATTGAACTCATTGAAAATTGATTGACCAGAGTAAATTATGTATTTTTAAATTGTTAGCATCCATGGATATATCCATGTTAGCACAACACCAGGTTAAAAGTAAACTCTCAAAAAACATTTTTTCTTGGACTTATTTTTAATTTATGTGTTGTTTTAATCAAAGTTTATAAGATTTTAGCTATTTTTATAATTATTTTCTAAAAGTTTTCTAAAGTTCGAATTTTGTTTTTTAAGTCTTGCTTTTTATCTTCTTTACTAAGTTGAAAATTGAGCAAAAGAATGAATGATTGGCAGACAGATGATCAGCAGATGATGAAGCCTTTCTACCATGGTGATTTTAAAATTAAATTTAATTAACAATTCTCTTTGATGCTTTGTTGATCAATGATGATCACCAGATTTTTATGCGAAGAACTCAATGCACGACAAAATATCAGTTTTAAATTCATTTTTTTTATAAAATGAATGAAAATTTTTTTTTTTATAAAATTCTGTTTTTTTTACAAGCAATTTTTAACCATAATTTAAAAATTTGAATTTAATATAATTTGGTCAAAAAAAGCTTTTTGTATTGAATAATTCTGACCAAAGCATTAATTTTAAGATCATTATCAATTTGTTCATTCACTATTCACTTTTTTTTATATGTAATAAAATGTTTGTTTTTATAATTTTGGATGAATTTGTATATAGCTGTCTATTGTAATTAATATATTGTAATAATTTTAATTATACTGTACTTTTTTCAAACCATTTTTCATAACCATTTATTGGATTATGATTATAGTAAACAGTAAGTAATAGAATAGAGTTTTTACTTATGCTTTACCTTAATTTTGTCTAAAAATAAAACTTAAATTGATCATTATTTATTTTATTTGTATTTAAAAAATCAAATTGAATTGATTTGAAGTTTTTTTTAAACCAAATAAGGATGGAAAAGAGAGGTTGTATACAGGAACACAAGTGAAAAAGAAAAGCCTAAATTAGATGTTTACTATTACACTCCTGATAAAAAAAAATTGGTTGGTTGGCTGTTCAAACAATTTTTATAAAAAAAAATTTTTTTAATAAAATTATTTCTTTTAGAAAATAAAGTATAAAATATAATTTTTATTTTTTTTTACAGAGATCTAGCATTGAAATAAACAATTATTGTAAGCTTTTATGGTCATTACCATTATTTATTATTAAAATATTAAAGAATGAATAGTTATACATTTTATATTTTCCTCAACTCAAGTGAAAAGTCAGACAAGCGAATTAACATCATCCTGTTTCACATTCTCTAAAATAAAACTAAACTACGAACCATTTGAAATAGTTAGATATGCTGGCAAACGAAAATCAAGGGTCTCAAATGAGTCTCAAAAGCCTAAAATGTAAGATTGTTATTTATATTCAACCAAAACAATTTATGATAAATATTTATTTATCTAACTTTGTTATTTGTTGTATTTCATTTTCAGATGCAAAACAAACAAAAAATCTGAAGTATGTGGATTTTTAACTTTTTATAAGCTAACCAGTTTTTTTTAGAATCTGAATGAAATTAATTTGTTTATGAAGCCATTTAAAATGCACACACTAAATAAATTCATCTGCAAGATAAAACATGAAAGAGTTTTTCAAAGAAAGGATGCAAAATCCAATGAAACAAGTTTTGTGATGTCGTCAGCAGCAGTTCCAGCATCATCCACAGCAGCAGCAGTTCCAGAACCATTCACAGCAGCAGTTTCCTTTTCCTCAAAATCAGTATTATTATGTTCCTCTTCATCAACATTAGCATTGTCACGATCATCAACAGCAGCGAGAGTAATTGCAGCAAAAACATTTCACCAACTTCATGATGATGGCATCTACACAAGTGTTGATAAGAGAGTAGTAATGAACAAGTTTCTCAGGAATTTTAACAAATCTTGCATTGAACTCAAGTTACTGTTGAAGATTTTCAAGTATCTGACAGTGAAAGATTTAGTGTCAGTTTCAATGACTTGCAAGTTATGGAGGAAGGCCTCTCTTCATCAATCTCTGGTATTTCAATTTTTTAGTTTATCAAGTATTTTTTAAAATTTACACCTAATATATGCTTGTGAACACGCGTGTATTCATGTTTAATTATATTGATATTTTTCGTTTATTGCAAAATAATTATTATGTTCTAAAACGGTGAACAAATTTTTATATTTCAACGTTTTTGAAATTCAAAAAGTGTTATCACTGCAGTGATGTCATATGAAAAAATCTTTTGTTTTGTTAATACTCATTCTAGGTGTTGTTAATGTAATCAACCTATTCAAATATGAAGTTGTTAATGTTATTGATCCATTTAAATACTATGTTTGTTGTTATTGGAATTATTTACGACAGTGGGATGGTGTTAAATTGAAAGACTTGAGCATTAGGAAGTGGGATGAGGCAGCTGATTTCTTAAACAGGCGATCAACCAGATACATAGTCAGTTATCTTACAGTAAAATTTGTTTACAATTTGTGTGACCTCTTCTAATTATATTTTTCTTAGTTATTTGGTTTTTGCAGATATGTAAAGAATTATATTATGACTTGTTGATTGATTTAATTTGTTGTATATGATGCTGATGTGTTGCACCATTCATTTCCCCGCAGAATTTCGATGGCCTACAAATTTCAACGAATGTCTCACCAATGACATACTGGTCAAGCGTTGCTAACGCAATGGAGAAGTTGAAATTTTTAAAATTTGTTGATTTGGGTTTGTGTAGCGTGGACGTATTACGCGTGTTCACGTCTCGCCCTTCTCTTGAGCACATCCAAGGTCTGACTTGCTCCATAAAAGCCGTCGAAAATAATCCTCATGATTCCTCTTCACGAAAGTCAGTGCTGCTGCCGCATGTTAATTGTATCAAACAATGATACTAATGAATAAATCATGTATCACATCAGTGTTACGTTGAAAAGCTAGATAATCACGTTGTAAAATATTTAATTCCAGTCGTCAGCAGTCAAGAGAATCCTGCGTTGAACTTGACATGAGCTGGATGTTGCAATCAAAAAGCCTAAAAGTCTTGAAGATAAATAGCAACCGCACCTTCCAAATAACATCTTTTGAAAATATCTCTTCATTACAAAACTTACAAGCACTGGTTGGACAGATTTCTAAAAATTCCATTTTAGAAATAGACATTTTGAAAAACTAAACAAAGATTTTTTTCAAAATTTCAGAGTTTGACCACGGTAGCATATTTAAAAGAAAACAGTCTAGAATGCCTCAAATGCCTCTCAAATCTCCATTTTTTTGAATTTGGTTATTGCTATGGTTGGCAAAAATGGGTCAGTCTTTAACTCTCTGATATGATATTTTTTATTTACTGGATTAGATTAGTAAATATAGAAACGAAATTGTCAATTAACACATTTTCATAAGGTTTTAGAGAATTTGAGTCACTGCATAAGTCTTCAAAGCTTGAGACTGTGCTCTCAAAGTGATTCCATTCAAAATGAAAACAGTGCCGATCCTAGTCGTCTGAAGCATTTCTTCAAATCATTAAAATCGTATGTATACATTTTTATACTTTTCATTCTGATACCATTATTTGTAATAGAATTATTTTCAAACGAAATCTCCAATAAAAGTTTGAAACACCTGGGTTTGATTAACTTCCCAATTACGACATCTATAATTGACATGCTGGCTGAATTAAACAACTTGAATAATCTGGTGGTGCATGTTACTGCAGACACAGAAGCAACGAAGGTAAAACTATATCATTGTATTTCAAGCTGCTACTAGCTGGCGATAAATTTTCGTTCTCTAAGAGTTATAAAATAATCATCTAGTGCTTACATCTACGTACACTTGGAGATTTGCCTAGCATTTATTATTCAAATGTTTCAAAGTAAATACAATTTTTGTTTATTTAAGAATTTATATTCTTTGCACCAAGTTCATTTCGTGTCAAAAGTTATATAAACCATCTCCATAACAAAACTATTTGTAATCATAAATTCCCATAACATTAATTTTTGCACGAAACCAATTAAAAACTAAAATTAACAATCCTAGGTAACGTTGAACAATCAAATAGTTCAAAAATCGAAATGCCTAAATTCTTTGGATTTATTTCAATGGAAGATTGTTACAAATATAAACCGCAAAGAGAGGGAGGTAGGTAACGAAAAATTATTCAGACAACTTTCAATGAACATGCCCCGAACGAAAATCATATTGGATTAGATACATTCAATCATTCAAAGAATCATGTACGTAAATACATAGAGGAGAAATAAGTCATCCCATCCTCCAGTCTCACAACAAATGTACAGCACGAAAATATCCAAGGAAAGTTTAAATGCTTTCGTAGAATGTTATACAGAACATTTTAACATAATTGTAACAAAATTTATTGGACTATTTATATTTGTACATTTTTATTTGAATAAAATAATCCATAATAAAAATGTTACAATCACAATTTGAACATAAAAAGAATTGAAAACGGTTTATTCAAGAATAGATTTTAAAAACGGTGATCTGATGGTAAGGATTAGTGTTGTAATAAAATTTCAAGTCGTATGCAGGAACCTGGCGACAAGCATGACGTGGTCGGATCCATTGAAATCGTTTGGCAAAGGTCCAATATCATCAGCGGCAGTTGGTGCTTGAAACCAGCCTAACAACTTCAGTGGCCCAAATTGTTTTACATTAGTTAACAACCTATCATTATGAAATGAACATTCTTTGTCGATGACAGAATATAACATGTAATCAAGATTTTTTGGACTTTCATTCAAATGACTTGATGTAAATTCATCTTCCAACTTGAAACTGGAATTCTCGTTGGTCCTATCATAAACCTTAACAACATGTGGATAAACAGATGTTAGGCTAAGATTATGAGAAAGTATGTTTGGTGGATTATCTTCATTTGCATTGTACTTATTCTGCTTTGTGATGAATTGGCATTTTTTGGATATTTGAGATGGCAGAAATGTGCAGTTCTCTAATAAATCCTGTGAATACCTTGATTTTGATAAGCCAGAAATTGCATGGCTGTACAGGCCATCAATCTGTAGCGTGCCTCTACACAGAAATAAATACAAATCGCTGTTTGGTAGAAGATTAAAGTCCCCACAAAAAATTATAGGACATTTGATCCAGCTCCCCTGAAATGGAATGCGATATTTGTTTGCGTATTTTTCTAACTCGGCCAACATGATAGAAGCTTGTGTTAGCTTGACATCTCCTCGATTAGGATTATATAAGAAATGAGTGTTAGCTACACAGATGTAAGAATTCTGTTTATTTTTAACTGTATGATTCCTCAAAACGACAATCTGTCCGACATTAGATCTAGTTTCACAACTGCCATCATAAACTTGATAATTTATATTCTGGTAATCAACCATTTGGAAGATGCATTCCTTGTAGTATATGGCACATCCATCTTCATTGTCTACTCCAGGCCTTTTCATATAAATACCTCTAAAGCCTGTTTGAATAGTTTATGATTTTAGGTATTGATTATTATTGTTACTGATTTATTAATTTAACTTTAAAACAAAATTATGTGATAGCAAGTTTTTTTTAGAAAAATAATTGAAAAAGTTTAGATTTAGAGGTTACCTCTTTGAATCATTTGACTGTTGATGCACATTTCATAATGCATGTGATGAACTTCTTGCAAGCAAAGAATCTGCAATTCATTTGAATTACGGTGAATGAAACATCAAAATAAAAGTGTGAGTATTACATTTTGTTTATCAGTTGAACCAATCAAAGCTAATTAACAAATACGCAAATTGTAAATGTGAATACTTACATCTGGCTGATATCTATCAATTTCTTCAAAAATGAGTTTTCTTCTGTTCACCCAATTCAAATTATATTCCTCACAGCCTTCATATAGTTCGGGATGTCTCACCAAGAGGTTTTGTGACAGAATATTGTATGTTGCTACGGTTATAGCTGTGCTATTATTACTGTTCAAGTCAATATTATTCCTTGTAGAACATTGGCCAGCTTCATCAATATTCCATTTTCTTTGAGAGAAAAAATCTTAAAAATAATTCATTATAAATTATAACACAATTACTTTTGATAGACAAAACGAAAAAAATAAACAATAATAAATGTCTCTAATCTATCATAGTAGTTTTAATTGAAATTTTGAAGCTTTTAATTAAATTTAATTTTAAAATCATTTGTCTATCGAATCATTTTTATTTCTAAACTAATTAATTATATATATATAAATTACTTTTATGTTTTACTTTACTTATAAAATTAAATTATTAAATATTAAATTAAAAATTAACTAAATTTTAAAACATGTTCTTTTATTTTACTTTTTCTCTTTGGATTTCTATATCTACCCTCTAAGTTGTTACTGAAATTATTTGTTCTTGAAGATGCAATCAAACTAGAAGACGAGGCACTGGGTCGTTGCGGTGAGGCTGGCCGTGGCTGTTGATCAAGTCGCTGATTGTGATGGCCTTGATGGGGCTGCAGGTGGTAATGGGATCCATTTGTAACTGATGACATGCCAAGTCGAGAGTTTGCGCTATTTCGTTGAGAATTCATAATATTGTAAACTAATTTCATTTCAAAACTATATCTCACATCATCATTGTTGATGTCGGGGAAAAAACACGAATTCTACTTTACGAAGTAAAAGTTAGCTCGAGTTTTAAAAGTTTAAATGTAAGCTTAAGTTCTAAATATAAATAGGAAAGAATTGGAAAGATCTTCCTCAAATTTTCAACACCTTTAGAATCATATACTTGGAATAAGCTCACCCGCCTCAACCCTATATTTGAAATAATTGCTCATCATTCACGCACGTTGCAAACCACGTTATGGAGCATATCTTTGCTTATTATACATAGAAACCTGGAGTTTGATTGTAAAAGGTGAAAGTATTTCACAGGCACGAAAATTGAATATAGTACTTTGAATTATGGTATTTGAATTTAATTGTAATTTTAAATTATCTGCCAATCAATGAAGTTTGAAGACCATAGCTCAATTCCTTTACTAAATTTCAGGTTGAGGACTGTTAATTTGGAATCCACACCAAGATTAATTCGCTGTAGTTTTGCAAGACGTTTAAATTTTTATTCTCATGTTTGGAAGCCATGAACTATCGACTGACTGTAGAGTGGAAAAACTATTTAGAACCATTACAATAGCACTTCAATTAGCAAACCGGAAATATTTTATAAATCGTATACACTAACAATAAAAACTGGTAAGTTAAATGTAATTACAGAAGCGAACTTTAAAAGCCTGTAAAATATCATTTTAAAAAGGAATGTAATATAGGTCATAGGATTATAGTATTACTTTAAGCTTTGCATATGACGTTAAAACAGTCGACGCCAAATTCGAGTAAAAATAAAAAGTCATATTTTTTGTTTGACTCAAATCTGACTGAGAGAATAGTATAATCATGAATAATTCCCATCAGCTATTTCTAACGTAAGTCATTTATGTTACATTGGCATAAACGTTAAATCACATGCATGACAAGATAATTAACTCGCAAAAACGTTACACAGCCAGTCTATAGAAAACGAAAGATACTGCGCCGTCCATAAGTGGCCCAAAAAGTGGGGATTTCTTGTGAAAGAGTATGACAAGGTAGTTGCATGATGTTACAGATGGAATATTAATTAAAACATTTATTCAAAATTTATTCAAAATATGTTGCTCAGATGACTGAGAAATTAACTGGCAAGCCAATTGAATGCAGTCTAGTAAGGGTTTCAAATCCGGCAGAGCCTCTCAAACTGCCAGTTGTGCCAGAAAGAAACCCAGATGCACCTATTACCGAATCTAACATGATTGGACTGATGGTTAAAATGAATTTCAGAAACAAAAAATATTGATATGCAGATAACTTTTTATTAACAAAATAAAATGGTTGCTTGACAAATTACAAAAAAAATTTGGAATATTCTTTTAAGGCTTCATAGCACTTTTTAAAGTCTTGCTTTTCAATTCCACCGGTTGCTTTTTTCATCCATTCATAGAAATCATCTTTGTTTTTGTTGACTGCTAAGTAGGCACCAAACACAACATAGGCCTGAAAATATTTAACAAAACAATTTTATATCAAATATAGTCAATAATTAGTTATAATGTTTAAATGAATATTGTGTGACTATGGAATGATTGAATCATGAAAACTACGAAAAGCAAATACTGCAACAGTAAATGTTTCAGCAACAAAAATGTAAATTTGTAATTATTAAAAAAGATGATTAGAAGAGCATTGAGAAACCTATAAAATGAACCATTTATTTTAATATAATTTTAAATTTGTGAAAAATCAAATAAATCCTATCTGCATGAGAAATTTGGATAACAGCAATTTTATAAATTTTCATGATAAACTTGAATAATAATTTTATTTTCAATAAATTACATGCTTTCTGGAAAATCCTAATAAAACTGAAAAGACAAGCTTAAATTGATTAATGCCAACATTTATCAAATATATATATATATATAACTATGCCCCATGCTTTGTGACAATTTTTAATTAAAATGTGTTGTTTATGTGATACATGGAACCCTTCTACCAAAAATCCAATCCAGCCTGAAAACTTAAACATAAAATTTATTTAAAATTACTATTGGATTATAAAATGATGATGGCCACTTTCATTTTTTACCCATTGAATTCATAAACTTCTTACGCAGTTTTTAAAAACATTTGAACAAAATTAATCAAATAATCAAAAAACATCAAAAATTGTTTTGGTACCTTAGTAATTCCACGAGATCGCATCTTGCTTATGTGAGCATCATTCAAACCAGGCACAGTTTCCACGCCATTATCTTTCATTGGTTGGCTTAAAAATTGATTAAATTTAACGATGTCATGATTTGTTCTTTCATCATCACTCTGATCCGCCATATACGCTAAAAAATTGAAAAACTAGTCTACGTGTTATCAGTTTTTAGTTAATATTTCAAAATGTAGTTCAAACTAATTTCATTACGTCTAGCTGGAGACATGCTTATCAACTATAAAAACACTTCTATGGAAAGAGAAAATACATTCGAAGCTATTTATATAAAAAACCCAATTTTAACTGTGAAGATAGTTGTATATTCTGCTGAAACGCGTTTATATGTTTATATTTAAACTTAAAATTTATTTTATAGATATTGTGTTCAGCAAACAAATAAATTGTAAAATAATTTATTGTTCCATTATTTTCTGTTCACTATACTTCCACATTGTCTCACTTTTTTCTCCTCCTAACATTTCGCAACGCAACTCTGAATCTGCCGACAACGTTTCATCGTTGGAGAATAAAATTAGGGAACTAAATCGCAGTAACACAGTGAATTTATGGAGCCGGCCATCATTGTTTCGCTGAATAATTTGCAGTTAGTAGCATTTCTTAAATTATTGTATATTATTTTTTGTTTCAATTTAATTTTAATAACAATTTTCTAATTTTATTTTATTTATTATATTTTAAATAAATAAATTATAATTAATTAATATTATTAATTATTGTTAAATATTATTAAATGAATGAAAATTGAAATGACATGTTGACTGACTGCAGACATTTGACGTGACACATGACATGCCAAGTATTATGTCTGTGTTTAAAAATCATTTATTATTCATTCATTTCATAAAAATTTAAATTTTAAATCAAGTTCAATTTACATTTACAATTAACTAACGTTTAACCTTTAGCTATGATAACTGAAGAAGAGACTGCATATAATTAAATTATTCTATTTTCATTTTATTTTTTGGTACAATTTTGAGTTCTGGTTTAGTATGAGCAATGAGATGTGTTTGTGTTACAACACACATTTGTCATATTGGTAGTTGGTAGTATATTAATTATTAGGTCATGCAGTATTGCATGCATGTGGAATCATTATATAATAAAATTTAAATGAAGTTCTTTTTTTTCCCTATGTTTAATTTTCATACCTTATAATTTGTTGATTTACAAATTTATTTTTATTTGAAATTATTCAAGATTATATATAAACAAGATCTTAATTATCATATTACTTTATAAATAAATTAACTTTTTATTTTTTCATTTTTAGAATATAATTTGCCATTTAAAACAAGGCAGCTATAAACATCAACTTTTTATAATTTTATATTTCATTGCAATTTTATCTGCTTTACCTAATTTTAATCTATTATTATGGTATTTTATTTTTTCTAACAGTGATTTGTATTTACATTACTGTAGTATTAAAATACTTTCAGTGGAATGATTATTCAGAATGTTTTTAAACTATATATTAATAATTCCTTTCAAGGTATTCCCTTGTCATCAGCAATGATAAGTTGGAGAATGTACTGAGTGATAATTTATCAGTTGAATTCACAAAAATTGTGCAGTGGCTCACTGATGAACTTGCAAAGTTGGTTGGCTTAGAAGAATGTGTTACCGCAATTAATGGTAATTTGATGCTTTGAATGTTTACTGCTCATATATATTTGTTAATTTTTTAAAACTATTTTTATTAATTTCAATTCTGTTTGTAATTTAATATCTACCTTTCTTCCAGGTCCTGCTGATGAAGAACATTTTCATATGGAACTCAGTGGTTTTTTGCGAGAATATGGTATTTTCAGTAAATTTTTCTCATTATTTCATGATCATTTAGAAATTATAAAAAATATACAACAGGTGGTTGTGTGCACAGTTGCTTAACAGATGGTCCCATAAATGAGAGGTTGGCCAGTCGGCATAATAAATTACTCCTCTTAGATTTTCTCACATCTGAGCTTCAGGCCAGCAGAATTGTTGCTCTAGAAAAACCACACCTTCTACCTAAGACTTCAAAACCTGAATTGGTCTGAATTGTTGACATGCTTCTGTGTTCTTAAAAATTTTTTCAGACTAATTGTTTCAATTACTATGTACAACTATGTATTCATTTCTATGTATTATGAACTTGGTTGATGCAACATTAAGTAACATTTTTGTTTCTCACAAATGTTTGCTTGTTTACTGCTGACATTAATATTGAGTTGTTCGAATTGATTTGAATTTCAGAAGGAATCATCTGCTGCCTGCCTGCTCAAGGACCTGCTCATCACTCTCTCATTCCCCAAACCACCTGAAGGCCTCACGTTCTTCCAGCTCTTCAGTAAAGTCGAAAATAAAGTTTGTTATCATTTTTCTAATGTTAATTTTAACTGTTCTAGACATTGAAACATTTGGTAAGTTTTATATTTTCCACTTCATATACTTCTCAACCAGATAAAAGAAATGATCTCAAAGATTGAACTGGCACACATGAGCAAACCTCTGTTGAAGGCCACCCTGTCGGACAAGCAGTGGAGTCAGGTGGATTACATGAATCAGGCTCTGAGGGTGGAGTATGAGCTGAGAAGAACCATGCTGCTTGAGAGGCTCGATGTCACCATTCAATCATTTCTCTGGGCTGATAAGGTTTAATGATGTTGTCTGTCAATCTTTTTTCACACTGGCTTTGTATCATTGTGTTCTGTTTTACATAAATATCATGTTGGCTGGCTTGTATCGTTTAGTTCCATCATGTTGGCTGGCTGACGGTGTTGATGAATATTTCTCATGTTTAAATTTTTGCTTCCTGATTGCTATAACATATTTGTGATTTGATTCAACTAATTTGTTATAAACAAAATAATTAAAAAAATTAAAAATGTTTTTTTATGTAATTATAAAACGCATTGACTTATGTATAAATCAACTATAATTAGATATAGTTGGAGTTGATTAAATTGAACGCAAATTAATTTTAAACATTTATAACTATAAATTCTTATGCCGGCAAGTCAGTAGAGTTCAAGTACAATATTGAATCAAATATGGTCTTCTTCCAACATTTACAACTGTGCAGACAAAAGAAAGTAAGATAAAAGCAGCATTTGAACAGTACAGAAACCAGCTAAACAGGCAGTATGACATCACCATTGCCCACGTACTTGCCGCCAGGGAAGGTGTGAGCTCTTCTTTCTTTTTCCATTTTCGTATGCGATTGTCATATTTGCAAGGCTCATCTAGGCAATAATTGGTTGACTGTTTAAATAGTTTAAATTAGTCTGGAGTTTCATTCAAAAATAATAAATTGCTATATACATTTTTATGTTACTGCTGTATGTTATAGTTGAAATGAAGATAATATTACGCTAGCCATCAGAATGACCATTCAAAATTTCTTACAAACAAGGATTGAGAGTGAAGATTTTTGAGCTATTTCAACATTGCTTAGACGCTAATTGCTGATTTTAACATCCAATGCAATTCACATACCAAAGATATTTTAATATTCAATTCAATTAACCTACCAAAGATATGTTGAGAATCGAGAAAACGAGCAGCGGCTTGTCTCGTGAGAAAACGAAATGCAGCATCAACAGACACATTATCGGCCAGGTTGGTCAAACATTCTGTCAATCAAACATACAATCCCATTCAAACCATGCATTAAATTTTGTCAATTTTTAATTTCTGTTCTTTTCTTATACAGTTCGCCAACATTACGCTATGCTATATATAACAATGTGAATTGTGTGTTCATCTCAACCATAATGTGATCTATGTTAATGAGTAGTAATTTGCCTAAGAACAAACGCTGTGTTGCATATTTCGTTGTATCTGTGTGTGCGTGCGTGATGTGGATATTTCGTTGTATATGTGAGTGTGTGTGTGTGCAGGGGAATGTGGTGATGATGATGATGATGATGATGATATCGATGATGATGGCAATGGCGCTGATGATCATGATACTAA